AGGAAGGGGAGGGGGAGGAGGAAGGGGAGGGGGAGGAGGAGGAAGAGGGAGAGAAGGAAGGGGAGGGGGAAGAGGAAGGGGAGGGGGAGGAGGAAGGGGAGGGGGAAGAGGAAGGGGAGGAGGCAGGGGAAGAGGGGGAGGAGAAGGGGAGGAGGAGGAAGAAGGGGAGGAGGAGGAGCAGGGGAGGACAATGGGCCACCTCCATGTTTTCAAGCTCCAGGTAGAAAGCCCCCGGGTGACCAGCAGGACTCAAAGCAGAGGAGGGTTCATAGGCTCTTTGCTTAACTGTAATTGCTGCCTTTTTGTCTTCCCACAGTTAGGCTCTGTTTTTATAATGCCTGTGCTATGGAAACTGAGGGAAGGTTTTCAGGCCTGAGTTACAAAGGTCGGAGAGGGGGCAACAAGACCTTGGCCAGCGCACTTGGGGGTGAGGGCTCCAAGGGGGAAGGTCACTCCATCTGGCCCCAGCCTCCCACCTGCACCACCCGAGCCTTCGGGTCCCCTCTTGTGCGTGTTTAATGTCGGAGGTCCCGCAGTTTGTTGGTAAGCAGGGTGAAAGGTGCCTCACACATGTCCTCCCACAGTGCAGAGACTCACCATACGCAGTAGTGTTAGGCGCAGACCCAGGGACGTGTGTGCCCTTGCTCTTGAACGAGACCCAGGTCCTCATCCCAGCAGCACTTCACGGGCCCCTTTCTCAGCCTGGATTGGAAGAAGCTGGGGTGGACACAGGGCATCCTAGCTGTGAGGCAGCTGAATTTAAAAAGCAAAGTGCAGGGCACTTGGGGGAGAAACTAGGCTGAATCACGCTGCCAGAGCAGAATTTTCCCGTCAGGAAAGTGGAGGGGACTGGGGAATTGGGGGCCCTCCTAGGAATAAGGAAACGCTGGGGACAGAGGCAGGGAAGCTGCTAACCCCTGGGAAAGGGACTCAGAAGGGTCTGAGTGGACGGCCGGCTTGTTGGAAGAACTTCAGCCGGAGCCCGGAGAGCAGATGCCCAGAGTCCAGGAGCCTGGCGTGAGAGACAGCCATGTACCTCTGGCTGGCAGGTGCCCGCCCCCGGTGACAGTGAATGGCACGGAGCAGGGACGCCCAGGGCTCTGGCACAGAGCCGGCAGCTGCTACTGCTGAGGTTTTTATGCTAATGCCACTTGTCAAGCCGTCAGTGCTCGGGGCAGCTGGACTTGACAGGGAGGCAGCTGGGTCCCCTGGGTTTTGCTTCCCCTGAGCCTTGCCCAGGTCCTCAGAGGTGTCCAGCAAGGAGAGCTGGAGGAGGAGGAGCGGATGCTTATGGAGGGCTGGGGCCTACAGAGAGGAGGGGCGCCATGGGGTCTCCCCAGGGCCGCATAAGAGGAACCCCTCCCCCCCAGAGCCCACCCACTCTAAAGCAGGAGCCGGACAGCCAGAATGGAGGGCACCTCTGGGTTTTCCCAGTGGGAGGGGAGCAGAGGATTCACTCTCCATCAATTATTCAGCCCGGAGGACCCCGCCTAGAGGGCAACAAGTTGTAGCCCAAAGAGCACAGGGCAGGGGGGACTAAGACCTGGGTCCCAGCCTGGTTCTGTCTCTCACTGTGTGACTCTGGCCCAGTAACTGTACCTCTGTGGACTCCAGCTTCTTCCTCTGTAAAGTGATTGAGAGGGTGGTGGTTTCGAGGCACTCATGTATTTAGCATACAGGCACTCAATACTCCTCGTGTGCCCGGCACCGTGTGAGATGAGATCCAGGTGAATAAACACAGCCTCTGACTTCCCATAGACCTGCGTTCTGGGAGGGAGGAGGGGACATTCTTCACATCTCATGGTCCAGGACTTGGGTGCAAGGTATGCAGGGCATCCCGGGCTAGGGCGTCCCTCACAGGACGCAAGACAGAAGTAGAGGCTGTGATCTCCACCCCAGTGCACGCCAGGAGCCCAACCAGCAAGATTCTTGGAAATTTACTTCCAAAGCTGTGTGGCAGGTGCAATCTGTGAGGAAATCGGCTTTCTGCCTTTTTCCATGAGAGGTTGGGAGTATACGTGGCGTGAACAAGCACCGAACATGGGGTCTGGAGACCCATTCCTAGGCCTCAGGAGCTGTGTGACCACGGGCACGGACTCTCCCTGTCTCTGAGTTTCCACTTTTTCCTTGGTAAAATGGGATCCATCCATCTTGAGAATCTGCTGCTTGTAATGCACAGCACGCTTGCTGACCCATTTCAGGAAGGTAGTCCTACCCATGAGGCTGCCTGGTTCCTAAGGGTGGAGCCAGCCAGTGGGCCACAGCAAATGGAACCCCCACGCATGCCTGATGGGTGTGAATGTGTGCTTCCTCGTCACCAGCCGGCCATCCACCAGCATTCCCCGAGACATGTGGGCAAGTTTCCTGTAATTGGTTTATGGACGGTTCCCTCAGCATTGTGTCTGGCCATAAAATATGCTCACTTAATAGTCTCCAAGGAACTGCCAGGCCTTCCAGCTATAACTCGGAGCCCCCAGCCCCTCCTGCCTGGCCTGACACCTTGTTTGGTGAATCTGATTTGATTTTGATCTTAAATCTGCCCTAAATGTCTCTGAGCCGTAGCCACAGGAAGGGTAGGAGTGGGGAAGAGGAGGATGGTTGTTGAGAATTATGACCCAGGCCCATTAGGAAGGGTTGACCGCTCTGCACAGCCCCTTCTAAATCACGCCCGTGAAGAATGTCACCGCATCCTGAACAGGCCTCTAGCTGGCAGGCAGAAACAGCGGCTGGGAGGGCGGAAGGAAGGGACTCTCTCGGCCTGGCCAACATCTGCTCTGTGCTCAGGGCCCCCAGTGTCCTTCCTGTGCCTTTCTGTGGCTGCTGTGGCCTGGACACCCCTTCTCAGTCTGTCCAACAATTTTCTCCTCCTTTTGTAGGACTCCAAGAAGCTGGTGCCCAAAAGGTAGCGTGCTGTAGTGGGTGGGAACCTCGTGGTGATGGGCGTAGAAAGTACAGGGATGACAGTGCTTGCATGTGAGGGTGAGAGCCACTGGGATGTTCCTGTGGCCTCACCTCCTGTTCTCTGAGGAAGGGGCCGTGAAGAAAGATGGGGAGCGGAGTTGCTACTGGCTCCCTCGCCCAGCAGCCTGGGCCGCACCAGCTGTTAGCCAGTGGAGGGCCTCGGTCACGTCTGTTTGCAGAGAGCACAGCATTCTGACTCCAGGAACTCATTCACGCTTTGTAACTCTGCTGTAACATCTCCTCCTCACCACAGTCGATCCCTCCCTCCTCTCTTTCCTCTGAGCATTAGAGTGAAATAAAAAGATAGTACGGTGGCTGAGACCCCGAGCTCTGAAGTCAGACTGTCTAGATTTGAATCAAGATTTCACCACTCACTGTGTGACCTTGGACCATTACATAACCTCTCTGTGCCTCAGTTTCCTTAACTATTAATTGCAGGATAACGAGAGTACACGCCTCTCAGGATCAATGTGAGATTTATCTACATACAGCTCTCAGAGCAGACCTTGGCACATTTCACCTGCTATTCCTTTTGTTTGTTAGTATTCCCTGGGGTGTGTGGCTGGGGGTAGTGGGGCTCAGGAACGACACTGAATGTTCACTTCCAGTAGACCATGTCTTCCCTATGTGTCCAAGGCCTGGGATGAATGGATGAATGAATGGATGGATGGATGGATGGATGGATGAATGAATGAATGAATGAATGAATATCAGTAAGCATGGGAGTGTGGGGGATGAAAAGACCCCAAGGTTCCACAGTACTTACCTTCTAGTTGGGCAGCCAGGACAGCCATCACACGGAGAATGTTCCATGGGCCAGTCTGGCAGCAGGAACTTAGAGGTAGATCCCAGGTGGCCACCAGCACCAGAAGTTCTGGAAAGGAGTGATGAGTTGGCTGAGGTTAGGGAGAGTCTAGATACCCCCAAACATCCCTGCCCTGTAGGGACCACTTATGGGGCAAGGGAATGCAAGGCCACGACTCACTGGATTTACCCTCAGCTGACCCTCCCAAGCTTTGACTCATGGTTAAGATTTCCTAGGTGACTTTCGTCCCTGAGTATTAACCAAAGGATCTTTTAGTGTTAGCTGCTAGGGATTTGAAAAAGTCATAAAGCCATGATTTTTTTTTTTTCCTTAGAACTAGAGGGGGTTGAGGAATGAACATTTTTACCAGTGATTTGATAGCCGGGAAGCTAACACTCAGAGAGTCTAAATGGTTTTCCTAAGTCAGCTGAGCTTATCTCCCAAATGTGTCCCTTTATTTCTTGTCACTGAATCCCTGTCCTCACCACTGGTAGAGAGGAACAGAAATCACTTTTCCAGTTTTAGGGAACTGAACGTAAGAGCTGAGACCCAGATTGCCGAGAGGCTTACCCCAAGCCACCCTGCAAGTCAGCAACCGAAGCGGCCGAACCAGGGGTTCTGACCCAAAGGTTAGCTGCTCTGCTCCCTGCCTGCCCCGACTCCCCACTATCTGGAACACTCTGATCCAAGGCAACTGGGGCCTCCTGGAGCTGAGTGCGGTGCCGGCAAAGATGTTCCTGCTCTGGGTGGAGGGGAGCCGTCCCCCCCGCCCCAACACACACCCATGGAGCACCTGCAGGGAAGCCAGCTTTCCAAACCACCCTTTGTCAGCTGCTCCTCTAAGCAGAACACACGGCGCGCAGCCTGAGAAGGAGCCTTGAGCGCCAGGGAGGCTCCAAGTCAGTATCAAGAGGATTTTCATAAACACAACTGTCTGTGTCTGGGCAGCCATGTGGAAAGTTGCAATATAACCCACTGATGTCATGTGGCAGGGGAAACAAGATTTCCAGAGGCAGCCGCGCTGCTCTCTCCAACCTCCGCGTGGGGCAGAATCCCAGACAGGCTTTGCGAAGAAAGGGAAGGGAAAAAAAAAAAAAACAAAAAACAAAAAACCACAACCTGCAACAAATTGCAAAACAAAACCCTGGGTCTGAGGTCTGCGAAGAAGCGCGGTAGGAAAGGGAGCTGGGGACGATCTGGAGTTGGTGGGGGAGCACACTGGGCTGTGGGATCACCCTGCAGGCTCTGTTCTGTGGGCTTTCTGAGGATGAGGGCAGCCTCCAGAGGAGCTGGGGTGCGCCGACCTCTCCCTCCCGCCCGGCACCTTGGATCCCTGGACCTCAGAATCACCTGTCCTTTCTCTCCCCCACGGGGGGATTACACCTCACCAGAGCCTCACTCTCCTGGTCTTTAAAATCTCCGGATTTCAGATTCCTGCAACCCATTCCACTACCAGTTCTGCGTTCACGTCTAAGGTCTAACCCACGCTTGGGCTGCTGTGGTTTCAAAGTTTCAACACGGTTCTGGTTCTGCACTGGGACAGGGGCCCCCTAGAAGAGGGGAGCAGTGGGGAGATGGGGTGTCTTTTCCTTCTTGGTTGGTGTCTCGTAGCATTACCTCACTTCTCTGCTGCCTCCAGCGGCCGGCACACCTTGGCCGGGGTCACTTCACTTGCCCGCACTGCATGCACTTTTCTCATTTCTACAATGAGGTGCAGGGGTCCTTTTAGGTCAAAAAGTCTAGAAGTGTCTGACTTCGGCTCAGGTCGCGATCTTGCATTTCATGAGTTCGGGCCCCGTGTCAGGCTCTGTGCTCTGTGCTGACAGCTCAGAGTCTGGAGCCTGCTTCGGATTCTGGGTCTCCCTCTTTCTCTGTCCCTCCCCTGCTCATGTTCTCTCTCTCAAAAATAAATAAACGTTAAAAAAATTTAATCATTTTATGACTACACATAAAGAGGAGCAGAGTGGTGCAGATTACACAAAGGATATTTTCTGCTTTTATTAATACTTCTGGGGATCTTCTTCAAATTATAAATCATTCTAATGGCAGAAAACTTGAAAACCAAGAATAATCATTTAACAAATAAACAGAAAAACACCTGCTTCTCAAATACAACCCAGATATCATTTCTATTAACCTTTGGAATGTCATTTGGAATGTCATTTTAGTCTTCAGAGTTTGCACATCCATATATTCTTTAAGTAAAAATATACTAGAATCATGTTCTGCAGTCTATCCTTTCATCATTTTGGGATGCACTGTACACATTTTCTCTTACACGGATATTCTTCTGCAATTTTTTTTCTTAAGTTTTTTCTTTTTTCTCGTGATTTTTAATATTCAGGAAAACTGCAGATGAAGAATTACAAATGGCCACAAACATACAAAAGAACACTTTGCCTCAAGAATAATCAAAGAAGAGGAATGAGATGTTATTTTTATATATCCGATCAGCATAGTTTTTTTTTTTTTTCTTTTTTTAAGCTGACACAATCTACTTTGTAACCTGGATGAAGAGGCGGACAATCTTTTACATGGCTGGGAGTCGGACAATATTTTACATGGCTGGAAAACCTGGAAAGAGTTTTTTGTATCGAGATGTAAAAATGTGTATGATTGTTCACTGACTAATTCTATTTCTGGGAGTTTACTCTGTGGGAGTAACCACCTAAGTATTAAAAGATAGCAGTACAAGGATGTTTGCTGAAGCACGGTTTCTAAGAGCAAAATTTTAGCAACAACCTAAATGTCCATCAACAGGGGAATGAGCAGGATGAAATCGACAAATGGAAAGATAGTATGCAGTCCTGAAAAATGATGATGTAGCTCTACAGGTACTGACTTGGAAAGAGGTCTTGGGTATTTTGTGGAGTGAAAAAGAATCAGATAACAGAACAGCATTCGAAGTCTTAGCCCATTTATATAAATTTATATGCACAAATCTGTATGTGTGCCTTAGATAAAGAAATGCCGGAGGCTCTGTTGGTTTCAGATAGGAGGGAGGGCTTAAAGGTGGCAGTCTGGTCTGGGGGTGGGGCGGGGCAAGGACTGAGGATTCACTTTGAAACTGCATTTGCCAACCAGCCTCCAAGTTGTGTGTGTGTGTGTGTGTGTGTGTGTGTGTGTGTGTGTGTTTCTTAGAATGTATGTTCTTTTGGGGTGCAGGGAGGGACACTGATGGAGATTATGAACACCTCCACCTGCCGCCAGGCATTGACCAAAATATTAGCGGTGATTATCTCTTGGAGGGGTGATTCGGCATGTGTTCATTTCTTCTTTGAATTTTTAGTATTATTTGAACATTTTGCACAAAGCATTTCGCAATATTTGTGCTGTTTTCTTTCTTTCTTTTATAATATACTGAGAGCCTGGATTTCTGTGTCTTGTCTGTCAACATCTGCAATATTAACTTTTCTCACCCTGCTGTTGCCCTTCCTCGAGAACCCCAGCTGTCTCTTGCCAGCTTTGGGGTGTCTCTGTAGATGCAAGCCCGTGGACAAGCGCCATGCTCAGACCCTACCTGCACCAAACTCCCCAAGTCTGCCTCTCCCCCACCTGTGGAAGGATGGTGCTCACATTCTTCTGACCGGGCTGAGCAGGGACACTGCCAAATTTTTATCTTTGCCCCTCACCTTCCTCTGCCTTCCTTTTCTAAGACTTGTCTCTTAGGTTCTGATGTGACCACAGGGCTCTCACCAGACGTGGAAATCCCTGCCATCGCCTCCACGCCTACCCTTGGCTCCGTTTATCCTAATACCCTACTTGGCATCTGACCTTGTTCTGTCTTGCGTCTTGGACTTTGCTGCTTCCTGGAAGTTTCCAGTCATCCCTACCATGCTAGGTGTGACAATGCTCTATTCCACTTGATTCAACAGTTCAAAAAACCTACTGTGTGCTCCTTATGTGCTCAAGCCCTGGACAGGTTCTTGTGGACATAGAAACCGTGAGTAGAGGTCTCTACACTTGAGAGTGCCGTAGGGACTCTGATGGTAGCTGACCCTGAAGGTCTATGACTGCCAGGTGCTGTTCTAGACGCTTTGCACGTATTATCTCCTTTAACCCTCGCTATAATCCTGTGAAGTAAGTATGATGAATGTGTCCGTTTTAAAGAGGAGGAAACTGAGGCATAGAGAATAGCTTCCCCGAGGTCACAGAGAATTGAGTGGCAATCTGGCTCCTAAACACCATGTGCTATGAAAGAAAAGAGGCCACCTGTGAAGTGTTGTAATAGACATTTATAGAAAGACTACAGGAGTTTGGCAAAAGTGAGTCATGAATTCTTTTGGCTCTCAGACTCTTGACCTGTGTGAGAACCCAGGTAGGTAACCAGCTTCCTCTCTGCTGCTTACTCACCCAACCTTCTGCTTTTATGTCTGCAGATGAAACGTCAAACATCGTCTTAACTTAGACTCAGCATCTGCTGTGAGTGACTGACATCTGCTGGGCTGGCCTCCGGCCCCAGGTCCACCTGGCTGGGTTGGAAGGCCCAGATCATGTCCCACACCATCTCACATGCAGCAGCCCAAGTGCCCCAGAGCTTTCCTGCTTGGGTCTGGGCTTCTTCCCAACATTCCATGAGCCCTCCCACTGGGGAAAAACTGATGGAAACTGCTCCGTGACCCCTTTGCTTCTAGTAGGCCATGTTTTCTGAAAGAAAGATGTTCCAGAAGAGCTGTGTCCAAAGTGAATGTTTGTAGACTGAATCCCATTTAGAATACATTAGAATAATTAGCTAATGACACAACAGCATCAACTTGCATTGAGTCCTCACTACATGCCAGGCACTTTGCTCATAATATCCCTTGAATTCATGGGACACATCTGTAAGGTGGGCACCTCTTTCCTTATCCTGACATAACCAATGAAGAAACCAAGCCCAGAGATGTTAGGTGATTTGACCTAGGTCACACAGCTAATAAGTGCCAGAGCTGCCTCCTGGCCTGGCACGCAGTCTAAACCATCACTCTGCTGTGTCTGGTCCAAGGAGCATTCAGTGAATTCTTAGGCAAACGGTCTCTTAGGGAAATCTATGAGCCCTGCTGGACAGTTCTACAGCAGGGACAGTAGAA